CCCCCCCTACGCCCGCTGTGTCGCCGCGCAAGACCCACTACCTGCTGCTGACGCCTTCGTCGCCTCCTCGGAAACGCTCCTGTGATGACAAACTACCCGGAAGGGCGGGCTGTATGCTGTCGGTGACTGCTTTGGCCTGCTCCACATGGATTCTTGCTTTGTTTTCCGCGTCCTATGTTGCCGTGGCTATCACTGATGCTACAGCGTCTGTACGCTTACACGTGACGGTGCCTTCCGGATGAAGGGAGCAGCACTGCTGCTCGTTGGTTCAACTCCAGCCATCGTCTTATATTGACTTTATTGTGTGCCATTATGCAAAGTGTACAGACTATTGAGATGGCCGAAGGCGAATAAATGTGGGGAGAGCAGAAGGAGGCGTTGGGTCTACGATGCTGCCGCTATCGACTAGCTCATGGAACTGCGCGATGTGGGTATCCAGTTTACCCTGCTTATGAAGCTTTCGAAACGCCTTCAATGCAGTTCCAGCTGCAATCGCTGATGATCCGTTCGCCTTCAGGAACTCGAGCGCACTTTTGCGTGCTTTATCGCCAAGGGCCAATACTTCGTCTTTGTAAGCTGGAGAGGCTACATCCAGGGCAAAGCCCGTCGGTAAGAAGAGCATCATGTAGCCTGTGATATGTCTAAATTCGTAGAGCGTTGTCTTCTTTACGACAGGCGAAGCATACACTCGAGGCTCAGCGGTAAACCACTCGAACCATATCGCAGCCAAGGATTGCGACCCTTTCTTCTTAGCTCGAGCAACCTTTGTCGTCGACTGGCCTTCTGCTGCTGAAGACGATGCACGTACGCTTGGCGGATCCTGAGACGAGGTGGACACAAGTACTTGAATATGATTCTCTACTGCTAACAGTCGCTCTTCTAGCCGCTTGTTTTGCAGGATAAGTACTTCAATCTTCTCTGTTTGGTGCTGTACATGCTGCAGCAATGTCGAGATCTGGTCTGTGTCGGATGGCGATGGCTTCAGCTCTGTAGGTGGCATGAACACCCGGCGAATACTGGAGCTCCACGCCAACACCTCCGCTTCCCCGATTGTTCGTGCAGCCATCGCTTCTCGCATCTTCAAGACAAGCGGTGC